CTATTAATGTTATAACTTACCATTCTCTGTGCCAGCAAAAGGAAAAGGGGATTCCATTCGAAATACTTTTGGATAAAGTTGATGTATGCACATGTGGGCTATCCAATCTATCCTGCATTTACACTGTGTAGAAGTATACCGTAAACGAAAAGGTGCATGGTGTTTCGGGGATAAGCTCTATTTTTTTAGAGAATCAAAAACTAGTTGTGTGCTAGACTGAGGGGCTGCCTCTAGAGATGAGCCATAGTGGTGTGTATCTGAGTGTTCCTCCAAATTAGTACAGCTTGTGTTTTCTTAGCTACAGATGCAAATATGTTGATTTGTGGAATAGTTCCAAATTGGAGCATTCTAGAAATTCAAATGCTAAGACTGACTTGACAAGGAAGCGTAAGAGCTGCCATATTATCAGACTATGGTCCATCTTGCCTAATATCCTGTTTCTAATGGTGGCCTGTACCAGACTTCAGGGGGAAGGTGTAGAATAGGGCCATTATGGAATGCTCCATCCATGACTTCCACTCCTGACTTCCTGTAGTCAGAGGTTTAGGGTTGCCCTGATCATGGGGTTGCAGCCTGACTGTCTTAGCTAATAGTCATTGATGGACCAACTTATCCTCCATAAACGTATCCAGTTCTTTTTTTTGAACCCAGTTATACTTTTGGTCATCACAATATCACATGCCAATGAGTTCCACAGGTTAGCTGTGAGTTGTGTGAAAAAGTACTTCCTCTTGTGTGTATTAAACTTGTTGCCTATTCATTTCATCGTGTGATCCCTGTTTTTTCGTATTGTATGAGAGGGTAAATGACACTTTTCAATTAATTTTTTCCACACCATTCGTAATTTCATATCCCCCCTTAGTCGTCTCATTTCTAAGCTGTACAGCCCTACTCTTTTTAGTCTCTCCCCTTAGATGGAAGCTGTTCCATAACCTTTGGATCACCTTTATTGCTCTTTTCTGAACTTTTATCCAGTTCCATTATATCCCTTTTGAGATGAGGCAATCAGAACTGGACATAGTATTCAAGGTGTGAGCCTACCATGGATTTATGGATTATTATATTTTGTCTTATTTTCTATCCCTTTCTAATAGTTCCTATTAGCCTTTTTGACCACTGCTGTACATGGAGCAGAAGTTTTCAGAGAACTAGCCACTGTGACTCCAAAGTCTTTCTTGGGTGGTAACAGCTAATTTAGATGCCTTCATTTTGTATGTATAGCTGGGATGATTTTTTCCAATATACCTTACTTTTGCACTTTTCAGTGTTGAATTTCATGCTATTTTGTTGTCCATTCACCCAGTTTGGTGAGATCCCTCTATAACTTCTCATAGTCTGCTTTTGAATGGTTTTACACATTTTAAAATTATGTTGTATTTGTTCGGATAACGGTATTTTGCATCGATGAGCAGGGAGGAACAAGAGAACCTCACGATGGGGAGTGCCCAAGAACTGGTATTGTGTAGTACTTGTGACCTTCCTGATTAGTTTATCTTGAAGCTAATGAGAATTTCCACTGGATGTCACTGTTACTCTCCACGGATGTAGTTAAAATAATATTTTACCTGTAGTGAAAATTACTCTGAAAGAGGAGATTTAAATATCTTCTTTGTTTGACTTGCATAATAAGAACCCAAATAAGACCACCTATACTACCCAGTTTCTTTCCATTAGTTCCTGTTTTATTCCAACTAAGCCCTCAAACATAGTCTAATATTTTTAATATCAGACTATCCATAGTTTAAAGACTGTCAACTGTTTTCTTTCTGAATTAACATTACTTTAAAAAATTCCAGTTTTTTATAAAGTACCCTTTTAGTAGTGTCGGCTGACTTATTGTTAATTCCTTTTTTCATTTTATTTTAAGTGGGTTTTTAGCTCCCCTTTTTAGCTTTTGAGGGTCTGTCAAGTAAGGGAGAAACTTAAAAGTCAAGAAGAAATAGTGAAACTGACTAGAGGCAGGGTATTGTCAAGTGGATAAAATAGACTGCAAAAAAACAAAACAAAACCCTTTTGTTCCTACTTTCAGTTACATTAATCTTAGGTGTTAATTGTAACAATAGTCAGTATAAAGGTTTCAGATAGAAATGTGATTAAGCTGATTGTGTCCCTTTTTAATATTAGCTTTTCAGAAGCTAGCTGTAATTTTATATAATTGCATATCAATTTATATTTTCCACTGGCTTATATGTTCCAAAATTGACTTGTCCAAGACCCAGCAGTACGGTACCTTTAGTAGAATGCTCTCTAGTTAGAACAGTTTTCATAAAAAGTTTCAATGTGAAGACTTTTGGAATGAAGGCTGATTTATTTCACCTGTGTCCATGGCCCATCAAGGAGGGATAGCTCAGTGGTTTGAGTATTGGCCTGCTAAACCCAGGATTGTGAGTTCAATCCTTGAGGGGACCATTTTGGGATCTGGGGCAAAAATCTGTCTGGGGATTGGTCGTGCTTTGAGCGAGGGGGTTGGACTAGATGACCTCCTGAGGTCCCTTAATTATTTTTTTTAACGGTGGGAGGGATAGCTCAGTGAGTTTGAGCATTGGCCTGCTAAACCCAGGGTTGTGAGTTCAATCCTTGAGGGGGCCACTTAGGGATCTGGGGCAAAAATCAGTACTTGGTCCTGCTAGTGAAGGCAGGGGGCTGGACTCCATGACCTTTCAAGGTCCCTTCTAGTTCTATGAGATAGGTATATCTCCATATATTAAGTGTGTCATTTAAGTGAGTGCTAAGAGCTGTATTGTATTCAAAAACTGCTTATCCATTCTTCTTTTAATGTTCAGTTGCTTCTCGCTATACTTTCAATGCCTGATAAGCAGATGTTGTAATAAAATATTTAATGGCACATACAGTTACTCGGTTGTGCTGAATAAACTGTTCACTTGAACTCACTAAAATAGATTAAACCTCCACAGCAGTTTCATTGTCTTTAGTGTCCTTCCCCAGAGTTCATCTGGCATGTTACCTTATAATGTAGTAGTGAGGGAGTACAGGTGTCTTTTTATGTAATGATGACACTTGACAGTGCTGAAACAATTGTGAAGCCAGTACCTATTTCATGCTTTTGATGGCATGTTTTATTTTTGCAGCATTTTTTCTTTTTCATCTGCTTGAAGAATGGGCTCTTGAACCTACTTCCAGTCCCATTGTAGTCACCAGCTTACCACGTACCCCATACATCTATTAAATACAAGATAGCTGCTGCTTTTTTTCAAAGCACAGTAAAAAGAACAAAAATAGCCCTATGACCAAATGGAAAACAATGTCGATATTTGTATTCTCCTTATTTTTCTTCAGTTGTGTGCAAAATTCCAGTAGACCATATTACTACTTCCAGTATCCCAGACACAAGTTGGTGGTGGTTGTTACGGAAAAGTTTGCAAGCACTTGGGCTTTTCATTAAAAACAAAAGGAGAACCAGAGGGCTCTTGCAGGCTCTCCTGAGACCCCATAATGATATTTATCACTATAATCTGGGGGACATAGTAACAAGTCAATAATGGCAGGTTATTTCCCAATAATGCAGCAGCAACCTGTGTCATTGTTGTACTTGCACTGAGCCAAAAGGGCTGGAAGTTGCTTCTGAAAGAACTGCCACTCACCTGGCACACAGTTATGTAGCACAGGCTCTTTCCCATCTATTTGTTTTTAAACCAAGGAGAACGTCCTTCATTTTTAGAAATAATAATTTGTCTAGCTTTTTTTCCCCCTAAGCGGGCACACAAGACATCCCAGAGGCCCCATTCAGATTTGGTATATTTTAAAATCTGTTAATTACTCTACACAGTAGAGTACTGCCATGCAAAGTACTGGTTCTGTTTCTTATACAGGCAAAACACTCATTGAATTCTGGTTTTAGGATGTTTTGAGCAATAGTGTCATTTACAGGCTTCTGAGCATCATCTGTCCCATTTTAATCAAATCCATATTTTTAGAGTCTAATAGCTTTGCCAGAGTCTGAACAAGATGGAAATCTGGATGAAAATGCTTTGACCTACCCCAGAAAAGGAAAAGTGATGATTTTTGTTGGGGAGGGAAGATCACATAGAATAATGATAGTGCCAGCTAAATGTTGAGGCAATGGGTTCTTAAACCTTTATTTCTTGAGTCTCTCTAAATGCGATGTACAAAAAAAAACTTTTATAAGTATTCTTTTTTCAGGATTATTATAAGTTGAACCATTTTTTTTAAAAAAAGAAAAGCTGTCAGTTTCTTGCTTTGTTTAAAGGTAGAAGGATAACAGTTTATCGGTACACTTATTTTTCTGCTTCAACGAGTTAGCTTCTGCTAATGGGTTCAGACATGAAAGTCCGTAAACATTTTAAGTGAAGATTTTGTATAATGTTAGTGTGCTTGAAGCTCAGATACACAGGAATGGGTATGGAGTAACTATAGACCAGTCAATCAAAATATAGAATTAGTTTGGTTAGTAACGGAAGAATATTTTGGGGTTTTTTTTATGCTGATCACCTACTGGGCACATCAAATTTTTCTTTTAAGTAAACTCAGACAAATTGCAGTTCTATCAGGTTTCCTTTGGAGTTGATTAGCTTGTGCTAGAGCAAATTTATATCAGTAAACTGTCACTGTTTGGAGTCAATCCTTGGTGGTTAAACATTCCTGGAACAGATCTAATATACAAACTGTGGAGATTCTTTGTAGGGCTCTGGTTTCCCCCTCTTCCCAACAACTTCTTTGCTTAAAATAAAGCTGGTGTACAAATGAGGTTCTGACTTTATTTGTGATCTGCCTGGATTGGCTGCTGATCCATGGACTTCAATGGGGTTCTGCGCAGACAGTGAATTGCACCAGTGCAGGATCAGGGCCTTATTTTGTATTGAGCAACAGCTGGAAGGAATGTAGGGCACCAAGCAATGCAATTAATACTTAAAACAAATGTTTCACAATTATGCTTTTCTAACGTCAAATGCTAAGGGATGTAGAATTAATGTGGATTGTGAGGAAGCAGGGCTGTTGATTTATATATATATTTATTTTTCAGATGGAGTAAGAACTTGTCCTAGTCTTAAAATTACAGCATTGTTGTATAATGTATTCAAGTGACTCACATCAAGTAGGGCTGTGACAGAATAAACAGCATTACTCAGAGAAACAGATTATTAATACTGTGGTCAGGAGTGAAGAAGGCAAGGAGTCATTAGCCACGTTCTAACTAGAGATGGGCCTGAGCAGCATGATTTCCAGCAATCCAAAGTCTGAGTGCCTGGTTCTCTAGCTTGGACATTTTGCAGTCATTTACAATAGTCCCAAGCAAGTGAAAGATGCTAACATTCTTATTTGGTTATCAATTACTGTGCAAGGTGATGGAGGACCAGGTTCTGGGGATGTCTGGATCGGGAGTTTAGGTTCAAATCCATGTCAAATTCTGATCGTTTATGTAAAGTAGTAAGCATTGGAACATTCAGCATCACTTATTCCAGCAGTTAGCTTTTATATTACAAAAAAATAGCTTTCACTTTATTCAGCTGACACCAGTTCATTTGTATCCAAAAGGTAGATAAAGTTGTGGGGCTTGTCTCACATAAAAGGTGATCTTTTAAGGAGGACGGGAGGAGGAAGTTTTAGCAAAAATGTTTGTTAGTTTATGTAGTGAAATTCTCAAGCTTGCATAACAAAAACAGCTGAGATTGAAACTTCAAAGTTGACTTGTTTTTGTGAGGAGAGAGTGAGTTCAAGATCTAAACAAAATTAAAATGGCTGAACCAAACTATGCATGTTTAACTTACATGTGTATTGGAACATTTTTGCTTAATTTTACATGCTTAACTGTAGAAATCAAGTTTAGTGTAGCCACTAGATCTGAGAAGAGAGCCTATTGTTCCCTGTATTATTGATATAAACCTCTCTGCTTTTTACAGTGTTGGACTAAAATTGTAGGAGATGTTCATCACCATGGTAACTTGTATATTATTTATAATCATGTTTGTGTTTGTGCAAAAGTATACAAATTGTCTCCCTGGTGTCTCTCTCTTCAGGTACACTTCATATTTCTGTAGCACCTTCCATCCTAGTAGCCCATAGCTCTTCACAATCTTTAGTAACTTGAATCATGCATTACTTCCATAAGGTGTAGATATTATCCCCATATTCCAGAGGTTACTTTCCCCAAGTCACACAAGTCCATGGCAGCTTTCCTGATTTCTAGCTGTGTGCTGTTGCTTCAACACCATCAGTCCCTTTTCATAGCACAGATTCAGTTCTCCAGGACAGATCATACTTCACTGCAACCTATCCCTGAGGCAGAAATACTTCTGTTGCTTGCATTATACTAACATATAGTGTCTCTTTGTTTTCCTAGCAATCAGAAATGGATTGCGGTGATCCTCCTAAGAAAAACAAAACACAAGAATCTGCCAGGAACCAGCACCAGCAAGAGGAGGAGACGAGTCTTGCAGATACCCTAGAGCATATTGTGGGACAGTTAGATGTTCTTACTCAGGTATGAAGTGCTTTATAGGCTCATGATAATAGGTCATCTTCTGTCATCAAGTGAAATATGGACTTTTTGAAATAGATCCTTAAAGTAAAAATGTGAATAGTCTCAAAACTCAGAAGCTTATTGGTAAATCTCTGTAGAATGATGGAGAGTGTCAAATTTCTGAATTATCTAAAAAGTTGTCACAATATCCTTAAAATGTTGTTTTTTTATAAGTATTGGAAGGACATAAAGAAGTTTACAGTCCACAAAACCTGTAATTTAAATATAATCCCATCTCCATCTACTATTATCTTGCTTTATGGTAAAACACAAACGGCTACTGAATTCAACATGTATGGCATATGCATTGTGCCACATTCTACTGGCTTCAGTGAGAGCAGAGTTAGGCCAGTGCTGATGGCTTTTCAAAATCCCACCTTATATTTTATCCCCTTTTGTGGAGCTAATCTTAACTTTTTCAGGGAGTACTTTAGAGCTCATTAGAGAATAATGTAGGGTTGTGTGACTGGAGTCCCATGGGGAGCCAGCTGAGGTCACTCAATTAGGATGAACTGCAAAGAATGGGACAGACATCCCCCAAAGCTGGTGGATATTTCAATACTTAGATTTACCAAGCCAGCACTAAACAGCTTCTGTTATACCTCACTGGTTACTTAGAAGTCCAAAACATAGTTCCTTTAAAGTAACCCAGCCTCAGGCCTCCACCTAGTTACCCATGTCAGATATGATGAAGATTAATGATAATCTTATTTCATCACATTAAAAAGTTCTACCAATCCCAAAGGATCACACCCATTACTTTCCATATTAATAAATATTCCAGATCTTACCCTAATACATGTTTACAGCCCGTTCTTATTAACTAAAATTTATTAAAAAAGAAAAGAGAGAGTATGGTTAACAGATCAATATACATACAGACATGAGTTCAATTCTTGAGTTTCAGATTTATAACAGAGATTATGAGCTTTGTAGTTACAAAGAGTTCTTTTAGAATTTAGTCCATAGGTTATAGTCCAATGTCCAGTATCATATCCAGGGAGTACCAGCTTAACTGGGATCTCATCTTGCGACTTTAACTTGCGCTGATAAAGCTTAAGCAGATCTGAGATGATAGGATCAGGACCCAACCCATTTTTATATAGTTCAGGCCTTCTTTGACAGCTCGGAGTCCCTCGGCAAACAATAGACTCTCATTTCCTAAGCATCGCCCTTAATTATTCACACAGATTAACATAAGGCAATTGCCTGTTTTTCCACCATTTGCAGATGATTTGCTATATATTTCAAAGAGATTAATACAGCGGACAGCCTATGTTTACAGTTCATTTATGTCCCTTTGATATCTGAATTAACAGAATATAGCATAGATAGGGACTGTTTGATTACATTGTTGACCACTACCAATATATATGTAAATGCTCAAAAACACAAACATTATCTCCCCATTTGTCTTTAAGAGTTGAATTTGAGTCATTCATCCTGCAGGACAGTTAACCCTTTCTGGTCATGCGTCACAGGGGGTAGCATAAAAATCTAAATTCAAATCTAGATTATTCTATTAAAATGTATGTCAGCAGTAACCTTTGCCACAATTAATTCTTGGTCCTTTATATAAGCACTTTATGCTTTCAAAGCACTGTAAAATTTAAATTTGCAATGGTTACAAATCATATACTAAAATTAAGACCACTTTCTGTGAATTCACAATCATGTGGGGTTCCAAACATTAAAATAAAATTCTTTGTGTCCTTTAAACTTTCCTTCTCCACAAGTGTGAAAGCCTGCATGGATCATGGTAGGGGTGGTCTAGTAGCATACTATTTTCTGGAAATTAAGGAAATCTATATGTTCAATTCATATTTTTAAAAAAAACCTGGTCAGTAGATTCTACACATAGTATTCTTCAGTTTGGGGAATGCATCGCTATCTTGCATAAGAGAATTAACTTCAGTTCTAGATCCTCAGCCTGTAAAATCAGCGTAGCTCCATTGTCCCCTCCCCTGTTTAAATCCTACTCTTTCCCTAACTCCTTCCACATACTTAAAGTTCCCACCTGTTCCCCAACAGCTTCTGTCCTGTTTCTCTCCACCATGCTTCTCCCTTGCACATATCTGGGTCTCACCACAGCCCTGTCTTGTGGTGTGGTGTTTTAAATTTTTAAGCATTAATTTTGTCTTAATCACATTACCTCACCCTCATCCATCACACACAACTCCTGCCTCCACTAATTCCA